CCCCCCCCCCCCCCCCCCGTTACATTTTATAAGCTAGTGTAAATGAAGGAAAAGTATTTGTCTCCTCTGGGGCGTGGGCTTTGCTCAGTGTACACAGGTACACACCCTAAGCTTTCTCTGCCCTTGAATCTATGGTCAGCGACCATGTGTTTCAACCACAGGTCGTTCTTACCTGTGTTTCTGCAGCTCATGAGCTGCCTTTTTATCTTCAACAAGGATGCTCCTCGCCTAATACCTGTAGCAATCTGCCATACAGCCAGATGTGAAATGTTGGGATGGTGACCGTTTATATTAAGCACGACAACTTATCCTGCTGGGTTGGAGAAGTTAAAAATATGCTGGTTCAAGGTCTAAACTAAAGTGGTCATTAATCCTTGTAGCATTAATAAATTATTTTTTCAAATGTCAAGGGAGTAGCTTTGGCTGTGTCTACAAAGCCATTGGTAACTCAGAGAGGCCTTTGCTCTGATGGAGCCCGAGCCCCTGGGGTTTTCTGCCAGGCTCTGGGCTCACTTTGCATCCATTTCCCTGCTCTCCTGGGGAGACGGGTGGGGTGCAGGGAACACCTTTTCAAGGTGTGGAATCTGCTGCTGGGACTGGGGCGGGAGCCTACCTGGTGGCGAACAGAGCCCAGTGGAGCAGATGGGGAGTGATCGTGGCTTGTGTGTTTCCTGCAGAATGTTCAGGAATGTCTTGCCCTGGTGCTGAGCTATATTGCTAAAGTTGGCTCAGCTGGGGAGGAGTCTGGCATCCAGCTCCAGGTGGAGATGGTGAGAAATTTATCTTAATTTGGAGAAGCAGGGGCAACTGTTGGTCCTTCAGACCATGAGCACGGAACCCAGCTTTCCCATGCAGGCAGTGGGGCTGTGGCTGGAAGGCCAGCTGGCTCAGGTTCTGCGCCAGATGTTCCTGAGCGTCCCCTAAAGGTCCTTCCAACATCATATCCTCTGTGTGGTCTGGTGCTAGCGCCAGTGCGTTTCTATGGCAACCTTAATGATTTTTTTTACTTGCTAATTTTTATTTTTTTCAATTACGGTTGACATTCACTATTATTTTGCAACCTTGATTATTAAGGAACATTGTCAGTTTTATGAACATATGCTCAACGAAGATCTGCTTTAGAAGGAAGGGATTGGGACAGCTTGTAGCAAGGCTGTTAATTAGCAGAGAAACCATTTTTGGATGGAGATCACACATCTGTTAAATAAATACCTCAACTTTTTTCTTTTGGAGAGAAATAATAGTTTTAAGTTTGTTTTTATTTTTTACCTAATTTCTTAAAAGCAAAAAGCAAAGGCTAATGTCTGTATATGGGGCAAGGGTCAGTATATGTTTTTCAATGTTTTTTCTTTTTATCAGCTATTTTGCATTTAAAGTGAAAATTGTAAATGTTTGAAATAAATAATTTCTAAAACTATGCTTGAGATGTAATTATGCTTTGGGCACCTGGATCATTTAAAGAGAAGATTTGCCTGATTAATGAGGGGAGTGAGGAAAGATGGGTTTAACATTAAGTGGGACCATTCTTAGTGCAGGATGAAATTGTCTCTGGAAAAAATCAGATTAGTTTAAGAAATAAGTAGCAGTTTCTCAAAGGACACTAATTATGAAAGTATTTCCCAAAATGAGCCCTGGGGTTTCTGGGAGCGGCGTGGGCGTTTCTGCCGTGTCTGCCAGCTGATGGACGTGTGGGGAAGGAAAAGGAAGGGCTGTTACCAGAAGACTGTTTCTTGGACAGGGGCGTGTTAACGGTGTCACAAAGGTAACCCTGCGCTCTTGATCCTCAGACAGCCTAAATCAGTCCCCTGTTGTAAAGGTTCTTAGACGGGACACACTTGGACCACAGCCGTCCTACATGTTCTAGACAGACGGAGGCCATCAGGAGGCTGCTTGGTGTAAACAGCTCAGGGCTCGAGAGGAGGAAACTGCAGGGAAGCCTGGAAATTGTGTAACTCAGACTGAAAATTGAAGTGTGAGGCCTCACTGTGCTCTCCCCTCCTCAGTGTGACCGCCCGGGAGAGGAGAGCTACTGGACCTGCTGTCTCCTTGAGGATCTTTTTTGAGGTTGGCCCCTGTCTTGTAGAAAGGGAACAGGAAACTGGTGTCCCCCGTGGTGGCTAGGCTGTGTGGGCCACTCGGAGGGTGGCAGGAGTGGGCCTAAGGAGCAGGAAATGGAAGAAGGTGCCTCCCTCGTCTCCACGGTGTCACTGGTAGGATGACATGGTGACAATGATGTTTCCAGAATTTTGGAGAGCAGATGGTGACTCTTGTAGAGCACGGTAAGGAACACTCAGTTATTGGAACAGCCACTTAGGAAAGCATTCACCTTATTTATTGAGGCACAGGAGACAAGCCTTTCTCCGTACCTGTGAG